CAACCTAAGGATCAACTTTGGCATGGTATTTTTTAAGTTGCAACTCAACCATGCCCAAGCGATAACGCGCATAGGGGTGCAAGGAATGAAGTAAATCTTGGTTCTGATAATGGACGCTACACATCACCGTATTTGTGAAAGCGGTTGAGACCTCCCAAGTCCAATCTACCCCCAAACGCCAATATCACGTAATATCGACTTTTTGATTTTGCATACCATCGTATACGCTGGATCGAAGACGTTACCCATATCGTATTCTACCGCTTGCCCTAACAGGATATGTGCCGCACGTTTCTCCAAACCGAGTTCACCCAACCACCGGAGAAGTTCCGTCGTGGCGTGTTGCACCGCCTGATCCAACGGACGTGCATTACCCGCCGCGAGGATATAATCGCTGTTTTCGGCACGGGGCCAGTTGATGCTTTTTCCTTTAAGCACTTCAACCGTAAACTGCACATCGAAAGAGATTTCGATCCCAGTACCGACGATTTCACCGTCGCCTTGCACGGCGTGTCCATCACCGAGGTGAAAAAGCCCACCGGGGACGAAAACCGGGAAGTAGACAGTAGCACCCTCCTTGAAGCCGCGATAGTCCATGTTCCCACCGTGTGTAGAGGAGGTCGCTGCTGAAATCGCCTGTCCTCGCGGCGGTGCCACACCGAAACATCCGACCATCGGTTCAAGCGGTAGCGTGAGTTTACCTAACTGCGTCTCTGGCGACACCAACGTCGCCGTCCATTGCGCCACATCGACATGCCACTCTGCGAGACCGCGACCGCCTTCCGGCATCTCGGATGCCACATACTGCGGATCGAGAACATTGGGAGCGACAACCATAGCCGTCCGTCCGATTGAGCGATTTGGGACTATCCGATCGAAATGGACGGCTAACGTATCTCCAGGTTCTGCCGATTCAATATAAAAAGGACCTGTTTGTGGATTCCCTCTTTCGGTTACCTGCGTATCGTTGGCATCGTAGCCTGCGTTATCCACGGTTGTTGTGAAAACAGTATCGCCGCTCTCAATATGGAGCACCGGTTCATGCGCGCCAATTGCTGTGTAATAGACCGTCGGTTCAAAGTGATGTGTTGCCATATCTAAAATTCTTCTCCTGCTTTCAGCGTAGTTTGCAATGTGAATAATATACCACGTTTGAAAGGCATCGTCAAGATAGGAACATTGACTTATACCATGATTGAATGTTGGGTTTCCCTAAAATCCGCGTCATCCGCGTCATCCGTGTAATCCGCGATTCAGAAATTAACACCTGACACGAGCCACTTAATCCTTAAATTTCATGTAATCATACGGACATTGCTGACGGCTGATGGCTAATTACTGACAACTGATAACTGAATATCTCTACAGGTCTCCGAAAAATGATTTGACATCCCGAAACCCTTGTGTTAAACTCTTATAAAAATTCAAAGTGATAAAAGGATCACCATGAAACAAACTTTTAAAAATATGGTTAAAAACCACGCAAGCGGCGCAGTCTTAACCATTTCTTTACTTTTAATCTTCGTTGTAAATGCCAATGCCGCACACAACTGGACAGAACAAATTGCAGCCTTCAAACCGATGGTGGTAAATGTCGAAACCTCCTCTGAGGTAGTCTTTGAGACGGAAGCAAAAGGTACGAGTTTCGCCACCGGTTTCGTTGTAGACGCGGCGCGTGGGATTATCGCCACGAACCGACATGTCACGGGTAGCAGCCCCGCCTATATCAAAATCAACTTTCACGACGGTAGTTTTACGGAAGCGCGTATCCTTTACTACGATCCAACACACGACTTCGGGTTTTATCAGATTGATCCCTCTGAAGTTGATTTTGAACTCCAAGCCGTTGAACTCGGTGAATGGAGCGAACTTTCCCTCGGCGATGAGCTTTTACTCATCGGTAACAACGAGAAAGAGGAGTATTCAATCAAATTCGGCACGATTGCGAACCTCAACGTCAACAAAGGCGACCGTCACTCCAGTTATATCCACACGACGTTTGATCGGACAGGTGGCTCAAGCGGAAGTCCTGTCTGGAATACCGCTGGTGAGGTCATCGCTATTCACGCACGCGGCACGGATACTTCCAGTTTTGAACTGCCGGTTGATTACCTCTACGATGCCCTTGAATTAATTCGCAACAAAACAGCTATCCAGCGCGGCGAAATCGGTGTCGATTTAGAGCTTATCTCTATTGGGGAAGCCATCAAACACTTCAATTTTCCAAGTGATTTGCGAAAAGAGATAGGCCCCTCCAAAGCCGGAACACCCAAGGTTATTCAGATTGAATCCATTGTCCCGAGGACAACAGGCGAGACCATCTTCCGCGCATCTGATATTATCTATCGTATTGGTAATGAGCTTATCAGGGACGACCTTTATACCTTTGATGCTATCCTGGATCGGAACGTCGGAGAAAATGTTACGTTGGAAATCTATCGGAACGGCGAAAACCTGAAAGTTGATGTTCCTGTGGAGGACTTGGAGGCGAAGAAGGTACGGCGATTTGTTAGATTCGGCGGTGCTGTCTTTCACGATATTACGCCGCAACTCCGGCGAATACTCTTCTTAGAAGCCGATGGCGTCTATTTACCGCACGCTGCTGCCGGCAGTAGTTTCTCACGTGTCGGTTTACAGGAGCGGAATGGGAACTCTAAGGTAGTGATTCTTGATATAAATGGAAAACAGATTCGCAACTTAGATGACTTTATTGAGGCGTGCAAAACCATTACCGATGGACAGCACACCTACGTTGTCGTCCGAGATTTCAATCTGTTCGATAGTTCACCGACCCCGAAAAGTTTGACGGTCAACCTCAAGTTTGGACCACTACAGCAGTTTGAATGGAGTCAAGAGGTATTGGATTGGGAAGAGGTGGGTCGCGAATAGTTATCAGCAGTGTTTTTTTTCATAACATTAAAAACCTAGTCCGTAATGAAATGGAGGACGACTGAACGGAAAGGCGCGTCAGTCTATAAACCCATGTCATTTAACCGCAAGGTAAAATTAAAAACTGATTGCCACTCCAATAAAATCAGATGCGGAAGGCTTCTCGAAAATTCGGGCGTAATTGATGTAAAATATCTCTTTCCATGTAATACCTATTCCGCCTGTTAGTGAACCATTTGAGATACCGAGACGAATAGGGAGTATCGAAAAAGGGTGCCACTCCGCACCGATGTATAATTCTGGCGTTTTACCTTCGGTAGGAAGGGCGAAATCGACTGAAAATTCGCAAGGCGCACGTCGCAGCCAATGCCCTGCGTAACGATAAGAGATACCGAGTGTCAGCCATTGAATGCCATAGCCCTCAAGGTTCTGTGCAAGACACCCGAACTTGAGATTCGGACGTGGTTTGAAAAGCATTCCGAGATCATACGCCGTCTGATAGCCGAAGAATTGGTAGACATCAGACGGGTGCCTTCGTTTAAACTTCAGACTTAATCCCGCGGCGAAGTAGGGACCAAGTTGACGTGCGATACCGTAATAGTTGAAATCGGGAACACCGCTATCGACACCAATGGCGATTTTGTTCCCCCAAAATAGACTATAGCCGCGGTAGCTATAGCCGATACCCTTCGGGTCGAATCGGTAATCGCTTCGGTCGTGAAGTTTATTGACTGCGAAAAGTTTCACGCCTTGCCACTGAATGAGTCCGGCTGGGTTCCAAAAGCCTGCACTGGCATCGTCAGCGACAGCAGTAAAGGCATTGCCCATCCCTAATGCCCGCGCACCGACATAGAGTGGGCGCGCCGATTCAAATGGCCTTTTGTCAGGGGGTGTCTCTGCACATAGTGGGACTATTAGCCAGAGAAGACATAGCGTAGCATATTTTAATTTTACCTTGCGGGGAGATAACGTAGGTTTCATCTTTAAATATCTTTTCACTGGAGTCGCCTACGCCGTTGTTGCAGGCTTACGATTTCGCGCCTAAGGATACAATGCAATTTAGCACTATATCTACAATATCGCAAGACTTTTAATTTATGGGACTCTGGACCGCTCTCCACTGAGGTTTCAAACCTCGCCAGCAACGAGTGGATTCTCGGTATAATACAAAACCTATAGCCCGTAATGAAATGGTTTTTAAATTATTCGCAGGGCGTTAAATGGGGGCTTTGTTTATTGAGTGTTTTCTCTCATATCCGCCTGCGCCGTTGTTGCAAGCTGCTGTCTTAAGATAATTTTCGTAACCGCAGCCCGTAACGTAGTGGAGGGCGGATAGGTAAAAAGCAATCGAAACATGAAATCCACTTCCTTACTCCGCAAGGAAAAATTAAAGAATCCGCAAGGAAAAATTAAAAAACCCGGCACGCTTTACCTTGTTAGTACACCCATCGGGAATTTAGAGGATATTACCTTGCGCGCACTCCGTATCCTCAAGGAGGTGGACCTCATCGCCGCTGAGGATACCCGTCAAACACGCCGACTGCTGACACATTACAATATCCAGACACCGCTCACAAGTTACTTTGAGGGGAACCAACAGATGAAGGGAGACAAGCTGATCGAACGCTTGAAGGCAGGGGAGACGATTGCGCTCGTTTCAGATGCTGGCACGCCGATCATCTCCGATCCGGGGTATCCACTCTTACGCGGATGCATCGACGCAGAAATCCCGATCGTTCCGATTCCTGGGGCATCAGCGGTCGTCACAGCGGCATCCATCTCCGGGCTACCCCTACATAACTTTACTTTTGAGGGGTTCCTATCTCCAAAATCTGGGAAAAGAAAGCGTCAGTTGAGTGTACTCGCTGATGAAGAAAGGACGTTAATTCTCTTTGAGTCCCCGCATCGGTTCCGACGTTTCCTTGAAGATGTCCTTGAAGTGCTCGGCGAACGCGACATTGTTATTACACGTGAACTGACGAAACGATTTGAAGAGATATTCCGCGGGAATGTCAGTGAAGCCCTCGATAAATTCCGAGGCACCGAACCGCGCGGAGAATTTACGATTGTTATTGCTAGTAAACGGAGGTCAGATGACAACTGAGGGAATTATGCAAATAGCAGTTATTGGTGCAGGACTGATGGGACATGGCATCGCGCAAGAGTTCGCAAGCGCAGGCTATCACGTACTTATGCATGATGTCACCGACGAACAACTTCAAACCGCACGCACTCAGATTGAGAAAAATCTCAGCGTGCTTGCAGAAAATGCTATTATTGAAAGGGAGAGCATCTATTCAACGTTGCATCGAATTCAGACTGACACAAAACTCGAAGTTGTCGCAGAAAGCGCAGACTTTGTAGTGGAAGCCGTCATCGAGAATTTAGCACTAAAACAACGGGTGTTTGAGAAATTAGACGCAATTTGTCCACCGCACACGATTTTGGCGAGCAATACGACGGCATTAATGCCAAGTCAAATCGGAGTGAACGTGAAACGCAAGGATAAGATACTCAATACCCACTATTTCAATCCACCGTATCTGATTCCACTCGTCGAACTGATTCGCAGCCCTGATACCTCTGATGAAACGGTTGAAGTGACGTTCGAACTCTTAACAGCTATCGGTAAAACCCCCGCAATTATTGAAAAAGAGGCACTCGGTTTCGTTGGACCACGGCTGCAAGCCGCCTTGATTCGGGAAGCATTTGCCATTGTGGAGCAAGGCATCGCCAGCGCGGAGACCGTTGATCTCGTTGTACGCAACAGTTTTGGGCGAAGACTCAGCGTCGCCGGTCCCTTTGAGGTCTTTGAACTCGCAGGATGGGACCTCGTACTTGCCGCTTTTGAAGAACTCTATAAGGATCTCAACAGCTCACCTGAGATCAATCCGCTCCTCCGACAGATGGTTGAATCCGGTAAACTCGGTGTGAAATCTAAGGAAGGCTTCTACAGTTGGACAGATGAGAATATACAGCAGCTTCGGGAACGAATGAACCATGCTTTGATACAGCAAGCAAAAGATATGTAAGGTAGTAGGCAGACTCCGCTCGGTTTCCGTCCACAAAAGATGTGTAAGGTAGTAAGCAGACTCCGCTCGGTTTCCATACTCAAAAAGCGTCGCGTTATATTACTGCTTGTGATGCTGATTGGGTTAGTTCTTGGTGGAATCTACCATAGACGGGTTTGGGAATATTTCCTCGAACTCACCGCAGCTTTTCAGAGTATTGAGACAGCGCGAGCGTACATCGCGAGTTATGGCGCACTCGCGCCTGTTGTATCGGCGATACTCATGGTCTTTCAGAGCGTGATCGCGCCTTTGCCAGCGTTTCTGATTACCTTTGCAAACGGCACGCTCTTTGGATTTTGGTGGGGTTCACTTTTGTCCTGGAGCAGTTCGATGGTTGGCGCGGCGTTCTGCTTCTATATTGCCCGCTATCTCGGTATCCAACGTATTACGCAGTTCATTAGTCAACCGGCAGTTGATAAAGCAAATGATTTCGTTGAAAAATATGGCACTTACGCCATTCTTATTGCTCGCTTAATTCCGTTCATCTCTTTTGATGTTGTCAGCTATTTTGCAGGGGCAACCCGAATGCGGTTTCTCGGATTTTGGATTGCCACTGGGATCGGGCAAATGCCAGCCACCTTGGTTTACTCTTACCTTGGTGAGACTGCATCATCACACATCAAATGGATACTTTTCGTTTTTGGTATCGTCATCGCGATCTCAATTGTAAGATGGCTCCTGAAAACCCGAACCCAAACTTCTGGGGAAGATTAAGTGGGAGGGCTTTGTAAGCCCGAATTTCTGTGGATCTCTTGTGGGAGGGCTTTGTAAGCCCGAGTTTCCTAAATCAAGAGTCGGGATTAAAAACCCTTGCTATAGAACTGGGATTGGAGACTTCTTGTGGGAGGGCTTTGTAAGCCCGAACTTCTGTGGGAATCTCTTGTTGGATGGCTTTGTAAGCCCGAGTTTCCTGAAGCAAGAGTCAGAGTTAAAACCCTTGCTATAGAACTCGGATTGAGGACCTCTTGTGGGAGGGCTTTGTAAGCCCGAACTTCTGTGGAAATTTAACAATGAACACTCTTGAAAAAAGAGGCTATAGTCAGTTGCGGAAAGGCCGCTATTCAGTATCAGAAGCCTTCTATTTACTGACTACTACCACGCGCAATCGCAAACCGGTTCTCACGAAAGACAGCATGGCGCAAATCATTTTCGATGCTTTTGAATGGCTTGAAACCAAAGAACGTATCAGGTGCTACTGTATCATGATTATGCCGGACCATTTGCACGCCATCATTCAACTACGCCCGCAACATACTTTACCCAGCATTATGCATACCCTCAAGCGTTTTACAGCAAGGCGTATTAACAAACTGCTCAAACAGGAAGGGGTCTTCTGGCAGGAAGGATATCACGACTCCGGGATCCGAGGAGATGCCGCTTTGAATAAAATGATTCGCTACTGTTATGAAAACCCTGTCAGAAAGGGACTTGTCGAAACAGCAAAAGATTATCCATATTGGCGATGTAAATTTGAGATGGGGGCATCGGGGTTGGAAACCCCTCCCACAAAGATTTCCGGTTGAAGATCTCTCCTACAGAACTCGGATTGAGGACCTCTTGTGGGAGGGCTTTGTAAGCCCGAACTTCTGTGGGTGGAGGGTCTGGCAAGCCTGTGTGTGATGACTGCAATACTAAAACAACATCAAAGTTACAGATCTTCTTCGTACAAAGTGTGTGAAGTTGATGAAAACCCTTTCCACAGGATATTAAACAGTGTAGGAGTGGTGGTTGGAGGAGTGGTGACAAATGGTTCGCATCATAGCGTGTCGTCGGAGTCGGTGGCATGGGGAACGCCCATTGCAACTCGCTCCCTAATGTTGAAAATTGTGAATTCGTAGGTATAGCAGATCTCCGCTTGGACGCAGCGGAAGCTGTCGCCCAACGGCATCAGATTCGCGCCTTCCAAGACTATCACGACTTATTTGATGTTGTGGACGCTATCGTTGTCGCGACACCGCCTATCGCACATACGCAGGTGGTCGTTGATGCCGCTGAGGCGGGAATACATGCTTTCTGCGAAAAACCCCTCTCATTGACCCTTGCTGACGCAGATACGATGATCGAGGCATCAGATAAGGCGGAAACGCATCTGATGGTAGGGCAGGTATTACGCTTCTATCCTGTCCACGAACTCGGTAGACAGATCGTCGATGCTGGCGATATTGGGGACATTACCTACATTGAGACCGATTACACAGGTCCCTATAATGCCCCGCGCAATCGTCCCGAAAGTTGGTACGGCACTGTCGGCGGACTTTTAGAAAACGGTATCCACAAGTCCGATCTGATTAATTGGTTCGGTGGCACTGCACTCACTGTCGCTGCCGAAGTAGGCAGCTTTTCCGGGCATGACGATTGGGAAGATTACACCGTCTCGCTCATCCGTTACGATTCCGGAGCGGTGGGTATTTTACGGTGGGGCGGCTTCCTCGGTGCACGCGGCACCAACGAAACCATTATTGACGGCTCCGAAGGCTCGCTCCGCTTAGATATGGCAGCCGATCTCGCCTATCTCAAAAAGCGAGGCGAGGAGTGGAAAGAAATCGTTCCAGACCGAGGTGGACCCCACGGTGTCGTCGGTGAATTGACCCATTTTGCCGACTGTGTCCGTGATAACAAAACCCCTATGATTGATGGCAGAGGTGGAAAACACGCCGTAGAGGTCGTTTTGGCAACCTACCAATCCGCAAAAGAGAAAACCAAGGTTGCCCTACCGATGCAATAATGGCATTTGGCTATCGGCTTTCAGGCTTCTGCCATCCACGGTTTCTGTCTTGCAATGATGGAAACTATCGGTTATCAGTTGTCAGTTAAGACGAGGCGTTTAACACGCACTGGTGCCTTCTTTAACCGATAACTGACGACTGATGACTGACAACTACATTAAAAATGCTCTTTCTTGTTCTCAACATCATCCTGCTCTCCGGATTCGGGCTCTTTCTCAAGCACGCCAAAGATAATCAGCAACGCTTAAACCCGATCGGTTTTATCAACTATCTCACTGCTTTTTTCATCAGCATCTGGGTACTGTCACAGGAACAAGACTTTGAGTTCTCGAAGTTGACCTTCGCGTTAGGTATATCAAACGGTGTGACGTATGCTGTTGGGTTTGAGTTATTTACGATTGGGATCCGACTCAGCGGAATTGTCGTCACAGCCGCGCTTGTCAGACTATCGATCGTGATACCGATTTTGGTGTCAATGCTGTTCTGGAAGGAGATCCCCAATCTCTGGCAAACCATAGGGCTTCTCTTAACTTTCGTGGCGATTCCACTCCTCAGCCAACGGGAAAAAGAGCCGACTTATAAATTTACACCCGATAGACCTGAAGTGGGTCAAGGTTTGGGGTTCGCAGTCGTTATCACAATTCTGGTCGTCACCGGTATTTCGCGGCTCACCATGAAAGCCTTCAACGAGATGTGTCCTATTGATGAGAAATCGCTCTATATGAGTCTGCTTTTCGGTGTCGCCACACTTATTTATTTGGGGATATGCCTCTATCAGAGGGCGTGGCCGAATTGGTGGGAGGTCTTCTACGGCACACTAATAGGCATCTGTAATGTCGCTGGAAGTTGGGCACTGCTGATTGCGCTGGACAAGGTGAGCGCATTAATCGCCTTTCCAATGTCAAGTTCCGGGGGTGTGCTGTTTACGATGTTCGTTGGTATGGTATTCCTTCGTGAGCGACTGGGTCGAATCCCTCTCATCGGTGCCGGACTCGCAGCGATCGCATTGATTTTCGTCAATTTGAAACCGTGACGCGCCGTCTTGAGATTTTTGACCGGATCTCTCAATCCAGAGTCCGCTTCTACCTCGAATCAAAGATGTAAGGCAAAGACAAATTTGACTTCAAACGTAAAATGTGGTATCATTTATCAAAAATAGGGATTCTGGAGAAGAATGCGGGAAAGCGTAGAGCTTGTCATCCGAGGTGTCCATCTGTTAGCGGCGATAGTCTGGTTCGGTGGTGTTATCTTTTCTACCTTCGTCGCGATGCCGATTCTACAACGCAACTTACCGCCGCAAAACCTGTTAGCAATTCACAATCGTTTTCGGATCTTGGTCCGATTGATGATTCATGTTTTACTGACGACAGGCGCGATGGTATTTTTTATTGTTGCATGGAATAACGGCTTTTTTGCAGGAAATAGTGACGGTAATTTTCAGAACCTATGTGTTAACTTTTGTCGCCAAACTTGCGGCGTTTGGTGTTATGGCTACTCTGTTGGGGGTTATATAGTTCGCTCTATCGGCGACACCTTGAGGCGACCCCTCCTAATGACAAAACATATCGCAACTCAAGCCCGTATATCAATGTGTGGAGAGGTTTGATGCTGGTAACGGGATTAATTGTCTTCGCGCTCGCATTGCTGTTGTAATTTTGGCGTTTTTTAACTGTAGCCTCTTGGACTGTGCTTTATTCCGTTACGCGCAAGTTTTCGGTGAAGTTTTGACGTTTACGGAAGTTTGCAGTTTCTGCTGGCGAATTTACAAACCTCGCCTGCGGTGCAAAATAGTAACGAAACCGTAGCCCGTAATGTAATGGAGGGCGACTCTAGAGAAGAACACGTCAGAATCCTGATCTCCGTTGTTTCTCCGCAAGGTATAATTAAAAGAATGGAAAATACAAAAGTTCAGGCAGTTTCATGGAATATCACCCGATTGTGTAATCTAAAGTGTACACACTGCTATCTCCCCGCAGGATTCGTAGACACAAACGAGTTGGCGAACGGAAACTTCCAGCTATCCGATATTCAAAATTCGCACGAATATTCAAGGGACGCGGAACTCAGCCAATCACAATGTTTTCGCGTCATTGATGAAATCGCCGAAATCAATCCGCACATCCTCCTAATTCTCACTGGTGGTGAACCTCTATTACGCCCGGATATCTTGGAGATATCGAAATATGCCTCCGATACCGGGTTTCTTGTTGTAATGGGCACAAATGGTGTCTTGTTGAACGACGAAGTTGTCGAGAAGATGCAAGGGCACGGTGTTACCGGTGCAGGCATTAGCCTTGACTCTATCCAACCTACGAACCACGATCGATTTCGAGGTATGGAGGGCGCGTGGAAAGCGACGATGAACGGTGTAGAGGCACTCAAACGCGCACAACTCGACTTCCTCGTTCAGACCTCCGTGACGCAGTGGAATTACGATGAAATTCCGGAAATTGTGGAGTTCGCGTATCAACTCGGTGCGAAGGTGCTGAATCTTTATTTCCTCGTCCGAACCGGAAGGGGTAAGACGGTGATGGACATTACACCTGCGCAATATGAGAAGATGCTTGAGACGCTTTTCAAGTTGCAGGCGGCTTACGCTGGAAAAATGCTCATCGCCGCGAAATGCGCACCGCATTACAAACGTGTCATCTATGAACAACAGTCTGACTCTGCTTTCCTTCAGGGCTACCCCAGCGGCACCTGTCCGTGTGGAATTTACTACTGCCGTATCACACCTGAAGGCGAGTTGACCCCGTGTCCCTATCTACCCGTTAGCGTCGGTAACCTCAAAGATGAGAGTTTTGTCAAACTCTGGAATGAGTCAGAAACCTTTCAAAACTTACGGAATCGAGATGTGCTTGAAGGGAAGTGCGGCGCGTGTGAATTCAGAGAGGTATGTGGCGGCTGTAGGGCACGTGCCTATGCCACTACCGGCAACTATCTCGCTGAAGATGCATCGTGTGAATATCAGCCCGGGCAATATGGCGCACCACTTGTTCAAATAGAAAAAAAGATTGCTTTCGCAACGGAAACCGATTACGATTTACAGTGGACTCCGGCAGCAGAAAAAAGGTTGAAGCGTGTGCCGTCGTTTGCGCGGGGAATGGTTATCAAAAGCGTTGAAAGATACGCACGCGAACACGGTCATCGCGAGGTTACCCCTGAACTGATGCAGGCTGTCAAGAAACGATTTGATAAAACTGGTATTCCATCCTTCAGACCGAAACGCTAATGCAAGGGAGTAGGCACACGCCACTGTGCCGTCAAACAACCGTAGAAGGGACTCGTATGCTGACAACAAAGCAGATTACATTTTTTCAGGAACATGGATACCTAATTCTTGAAAACTTCATTGATTCGGAGATAATTGATGGATGGCGAACACAGGTATGGGAACATTTTGATTCCAGCTTAGAAACGCCAGAGACATGGCCCAACGACTATGAGATTCAGGGATTCAGCTTCTCGCCGTTATTTGGACACCTGCCTGTAATGCAAGAGATTACCGAGCAGCTTGGTGGCGGACAATTTTTTACAGGCGGTGGCGGCTCACCAATTATCAAATGGCCCAATCCTGAAGAAGAGTGGGCAATGCCCAAGGACGGACACATCGATGCGTATGGTGCTGTCGCTGGCTGGAGTCCCTTTATGATAGGGGCAACAACCTATCTCTACGATGCTGAACCCAAGGGGGGTGCTTTCATCTTTTGGCCCCGAAGTCACCAGTCAACGCACAAGTACTTCCGCCAATATCCAGAGCAGATCGACGGCAGTTTCTACGATATCGAAGATTGGGATTGGCACGTACTCTCGGATTTATCACCAGAGGGACCCCGCGAGTTTATTGGTGCTGCGGGTGATGTTGTGTTGTGGCACGCGTTTCTCTGCCACACCGGTTCAGCGAATGTCAAAGATATTCCCCGTTTTGGTCTCTTTGCACGTTATTCCCATGAAAAACGGGAGGAGATTAAATACGAAATTCCAGAGGATCTCTGGAAATATTGGGCAATTTAAGGAATGGTTGTCAGTTATCAGCCATTAACCCTTTACTGATAGAGGGAACCCAGATGCTTACAGCAGAACAGATAGCATTTTTTCAGGAACATGGATACTTAATCCTTAAGAATTTAATCGATCCTGAGATAATTGATGAATGGCGAACGCAGGTGTGGACGCATTTTAATTCCAGCTTGGAAACGCCGGAAACGTGGCCCAACGATTATGTGGTGCAGAACTTCAGTTTCTCGCCATTGCTTGGACAGCTGCCTGCGATGCAGGAGATTACCGAGCAGCTCGGTGGCGGGCAATTTACAGGGGGTGGTGGTTCACCGCTCGTCAAATGGCCCAACCCTGAAGAAGAGTGGGCGATGCCCGGTAGCGGACATATTGACGCATACGGTCCCGGTGGCTGGAGCCCTTTTATGCTGGGGGCAACAACCTACCTTTATGATGTTGAACCCGGCGGCGGTGGGTTCGTTTTTTGGCCCCGAAGTCACGATTCAACCCACAAGTACTTCCTTCAATATCCGGAGCAGATTGATGGCAGTTTCTACGATATTAAGGATTGGGGATGGCATGTGCTTTCGGATTTATCTCCGGACGGACCTCGTGAGTTTATCGGTGCCGCGGGTGATGTTGTGTTGTGGCACGCGTTTCTCTGCCATACTGGTTCAGCGAATGTCAAAGATGTTCCCCGTTTTGGGATCTTCGCACGCTACTCCCATAAAGAGCGGGAGGAGATTAAATACGAAATTCCAGAGGACCTCTGGAAATATTGGGTCATTTGAGAAATGGCTATATGGAGTTTAAGTAAATATTTCGGTAATTCTATGTTTCCCCAGGCCCGGTAGGTGCGGTTTTGCGGCGTACTCGCCCAAATGCGATCTGCATTCCTAACCGCACCGGACATCGTTAGGAAATTAGCGAATTAAATTGTTAATCTTCATTCAGCCATTAGCGATTAGTCGTCAGTCTTTAGCCAAAGCGTGTAAGCCCAAGCAACGCGCCGGGCTGGATATACGGGAAGGGCGTTCTCGTAAAACCCGTCCTCAACGAATCGAGAGGTAAATTTAAAATAGGAGGGAAAAATGAGCGAACAAATAAATTCACACGAACGGCTTACGAATGTAGAGGAACGCTTGACCCGTCTGGAAAGTCTGCTTGTCAGTATCAACGAAAAGTTGGAACAGCGTTCCAATGTCGGTGAAGTTGATACCGAGAAGGCTGAAGAGTTCAGGCAGTGGGTGACGAATTACGTCTCGATGCGTCTGCAGCAACTCGTGCCAGAAACGTGCGACCACCCTAATGAAGCCGCACTTCAGGACGGTCCCTTCCTTGATAACACGACAGTGCCTTGTACGGAGGAAGTCGAGCACCGGGTCAAGCGGATACCAATTCCATTTGTCCGCGAGATGGTTGTCCAGCGTGTCGCTGAAAATGCACGGCAAGCCGGCGTTGAACGTGTGGATATTGACTTTTTCGAGGAAGCGGCGACATTTTGACAATGCAAAGCCACAGAGGAGTTTCCTCTGCCCAATTTTGATTGGAAGGACTTCTTAAAGGCACCGCTATAGAGAAAACAATCTTAAAACCGTACATGTTCCCAATCCGGTCGCGATTTACCGAAAATCCGTCAGGAGACAATAAATGAAAATGTTTACATTTTCATTGTTTCTTCCTGCGTGGAACGTAGTGGAACGATGCCCAGGAGCCTATAATTAAAAAATGGAATGGGTTTTTAACACGTTCTCAGAATATCTTGAGAATGACTTTAAAAAACGCATTGGGAAACAGGATCCCACTGTTTCGGACCTTTGGCAAGCCTTTCAGGTGCTTTTTCCTGCTACGTCGGCACAACTCCTCGTGCAAGAACCGGTGGGCAATACAGTACGGTTTAAACCGCTCGCATTCTATCATGCAGACGAAATGGGTCCACTGATTGAAGCCCCGTTGGAATATCTCAGAAAAATTTCGGAGGCGGCAAATTCAAAATCAACTTCTATCACGGTATGCAGTTCATCGCGACCATTAATTTCAAACCAGAGGGTCCTGAAATCTGGCGCGAGCTACCTGAGTTGGAAGGTAATCCCGTTTCTGATTAATAACGCTAACGAAACTCTGCTACTGAAGCACAATTTATCTTTCTGTTACATTCTGAAACTACGGTTAGGAAATAGTAAACCGGATCAACAACTGATGTTACGTCCACCACGGCGTGCATCGCAAGGACAATAGACGAAATTGTGCTATTCATGTACAATTTGTCTTTGCTTTACATTTCATGAGCCAGCAACAGGAATTTGGGGCATGCCCCTCGTGTGGAAATGCGAATCTCCGGCGGTTGGATGGTAATTCATGGTTCTGTTTGGATTGTGACTGGGATAACTTAAGTGTCATTTCCAAAGGGAATGACGAATTGCTCTCCTCTCTTCTTCACGGAGACATCCATTCACGGCGGATCGCTGCGCAGGCGTTGATTAATATCGGCGATGCTGACCGGCACCTTGCCTCTCCAACGGATACAAACGTACTCTTAGAAGCATTGGACGACGAAGATGACGATGTACGCTACTTCGTCGCAGTTGCCCTCGGTAAACTGGAAGTGAGTCTCAGCCTCGATAAACTCAAACAACTCGCCCGAGACGATGCCTCCGCACTTGTGCGAGAAGGGGCTAAAATCGCCGTTGAGCAGATAGAATCGCGCCGCCTGTCTTAATGGCGGTCAGCAATCAACCGTTAGCAAATAGCGGTGAGCGGTTGACCGATGCACAAACTATGGTAAATCCAATAGATAAGTAGACTTGTGAACGTTCCTATTTTTTGGTAAACAAATCGCGGGAGGCTGTTTTGTACCACAAAACCAAGCCTGAAACGAAGTGGAAGGGTTTTTGCTTGGGCGTTTCTTCAACTCTAAGGAGAGGCACGTTAATATCCAAACCCACTTCACCGAACCGCAAGGAAAATTAAAAAAATGGAAAAAATTCGACTCGGTTATATCGGCTGTGGGTTCATGGCACAGAAGGTCCATATCCCAAATTTTACCAGCATTCCGGACTGCGAACTCATTGGACTCGCAGAGGTCCGTACTGAGCTCGGGAAGAAAGTCCAAAGCCGTTTCGGTATTCCCCAACTTTACCGGGACCACGGTGAACTTGCACAAAACGCCGATATTGAAGCAGTTGCGGTATCTGCTGACTTCGCATTGCAAGGTGAAATCGCGAGGGATCTCCTTTTAGCAGGTAAGCACGTCTTCATGGAGAAACCGATGGCTGTCTCCGTTGAACAAGCCGAGGCTATTGTAGCGGCATCACAAGAGTCTGGCAAAAAGTTGATGGTCGGCTACATGAAACGGTACGATGCCGGAAACGAGATCGTCAAAGCGAAAGTCACTCAGTTCCGGGAAACAAACGAACTCGGACGCTTGACGTACGCCAGGAATCACGGCTTCGGTGGGGATTGGGTGTGTAATCTCGATACCCACATGGATGGGACAACAGAAACAAAACCGAGCGCACCTGTCATAATCCCAGAATGGATACCCGAACAGTGGCGCGGCTCTTATTTAGGATACCTACAACAGTACACGCACAATATCAATCTGATGCGTTGGTTTCTTGATGCTGGCGACAAAGTTAGCGTCAAAGCCGTTGATTTGGATGATAACGGATATTCTGGTGTTGTTATCTTCGATATGGACGGTATCCGTGTGACGTTAGAAACTGGACATGTCTCTCACTACCGCTGGGATGAGCATAGTCAAATCTATTTTGAAAACGGGTGGGTTCACACTTGGGCACCGCCGTTGCTCTTGAAAAACACGCCGGCGGAGGTCGAAATCTACCGTGCTGGAGAAGAACAAGAAATCACCCGTCCGATTCCGAGACCGAGTTGGACCTGGGCATATCACAGGGAAGCGGAATACTTTGTGGCGAATATCCGCAACGATGAACCCTTCCGCTCTTCAGCCGAAGATACACTCACAGATGTCAGACTTTTTGAGGACATCTACCGAATCTTCATCGAACAACAAAAGTAGTGCTTCGTCAAGTTCCAAATGATGGGTATAAAAGTTCGGATCGTGGGTACCTTGACGATGTTCTGCCTGTAGGAGCGAGCTGTGCTCGCGACCTTTTCACCTATCAACTTTGACATGACAAAGCAGTAGTGTTCCATCCAGTTTCAAATTGAGGGAGATTTTTTCGGTTTGTAGTAGGGCAATTCATTGCCCGTTCTTTATCTGTTCTCACTGCGAAGCAGTGCGATAAATCGCACGACTACGAACCCACCCCAAAATTCAAAATGGATAGAACAGTAGTTATTGGTTAAAGTGGTTTCGGTTAAACGACAACGGTTCTCGTTTAGAAATCATCTCTTAACTGAAAACTGACGACTGACGACTGACAGCTAATAAAGTTATCTCCGAAGCAAAATCTCTGTACCGTTAATGTTCACCGCGAGCTCATAGTTCGCCTGCAAGTATGCCGCGATCAGGGGATGCCGTTCCTCGACGGGGATACCGTCAACAGTATCGAACCAACCTCCCGTTTTAAAGATCACTAAACGCGTTTTGTCCCTTTCAAGGGCTGAGATAACTTCTTGCTGCATCCCAGGTGTTGATGCGTACGAGACTTGATGAAATCGGGTAACGCTCAGTCGGTTTGCGAAAAAGTAGTAGGCGCCCTGGCTCGTAAAATCGAAAATCTTTTCGTTCTCCCCCGTGTTTTCCTGAATATAAGCGACCACCTTTTGAACCTGTTCAACCTGATCATCCGGGATGTCTACTTTCCCAGCACGTGCTAATTCCTCCGTTACGACGCGCGGTTTGAACGGGTTCTGACGCAACCGTTGCCATTTCTCACGAAAACTTGCTAACGGCTGATGGGCTTCCCCAATATACCAACAGAATATTGCAATCGGAATCAGCACCCACACTGCTTTCAATGCCGGCTGCCAACGTCCGTTGCCTCTTAAAGATGATAGACACGCACGGAACATTCTGAAAATCCCACCTTCTAATGGAAACAGACAGAGCAGCCATAAAAAGGTTGCACCGTAAATCAGATGTCCGCCATCTGAACGCCCTAATGCAGTTCGGAAGTATGCGATGCCGCCAAGTAATAAAAGCAGGAGCTTCATCGCATGGGGTTCCGACGCAGTACCACATAAACATCGATATGTCAGGTACCCCGCGACAATCAGAAAAATACAAACGGGCAGATACCATCGGAATCCTTCGCTGAAGACGAAAGCGTTCCAACCCTCTGTTGACAATAGGGCAAGTGTTTCCGATAGAGATGGAAAAGCGAGTCCCCACGTTGCGAGTTGATAGCGACACTGGATATAGGAATTCCAAATTACATCATCCAAGGCGCCGTGCCGAAGAAAATAGATGCCTACCGGGAGAAAACCTAACAGCAGTCCACAATTATAACTGATTAAGGGTAATAGGTATTCTCTCCTATTTTTTTCCGGCTGGCTTCGCCTGCTTCCATTCTCTGTTCCAAAGCCGCCTTGGAACACATATATAACCAGGAACAATCCAATGGCACCCAGCGTGTAGAGCCCGATTTCAGTGCTATACCAGAACGCCAAACTCGTGGAGAGCCCAGCGAGAAGCAATTTCCATACAAATGTGGGGACCTTGTTCGGACGAGTCCTTTGGAAGTGCGTAAGGGAATTCGCTACGAAGGCGAAACTAATTAAACCGAGGCTATGCCGTACGGATACAAAGAACTCGTTTCCGGAGGCGATCAGTACACAGATAAAAGCGGTCAAAAATCTACCACGGAATACCTGCAAACCGAGCACGTAGAGTGCAACATAGCCGAGTGGGTCCAATATATGCGCCATTGAACGCACACCGAATAAGGTCGGTTCAAAGAGTTGACTGCCAAACCATGCCAAGTAAGCGTTTTGGAAAAGTCCGTGCTGGATATAGATGTCACGAAACGGCACCGCGCCGTGCAGCATTTCATTGAGAGGGGCGAGCCGTTCACCTTCGTGGAATAAATCTATATTGCCATGGATGTCTCCAGAGTAGGTAAGGAGATAGATGAAAATCGGGAGGATAATGTATTCGAGTCCACCACGCCAAATCTTTGTGGTTCTATAGCTTCCGGAGGTGGCGGCACCCTCCTTTTCGCTGGAGAGAGTTCCAACCTCGCCTATGTCATCAGAAACATCTGAATTCCATAGGGTAGGAAAGTACCGTTTATACAGCAACACCAATTTGAACAAAATGGATAGACTAATCGGTAGGAGTAAACTTGTTAGCGTGCCCTGACCGATGTGGTAGACCTGTAGCCAACAGAGCCACAACGGGATGGATGCCAACGCGTTTGCTTTCAGCACACGCTGTATCGGTTGGGCGGTTCGTTCAGCGCACCAGCGCGAATAGACACACCACCCAATCCAGTACAGATATATTGTTGCTGGGATGCCAAGCAGTGCCGACAGATAGAAAAAGTATTCCTGTTGTTTTGAATACGCATTAACACTGAGCCAGCCAACGACACCGGAATTCGAGTGGTATTCAAAAATAATGTATTTTTGGAGGGTTATCCCTAAGGCGATTGCCAGGGAAGCGGCGGAAAACGTAAGAAGTCCAACGTAGGACCTGAAGGCAGGAGCTTTGACAACACGCATGTCCGGCATAAATTGCTGACATTTGTAGAGCAATTTTTGGTTGGCAAGCTGCACCAAAAAAACTCGCAAGCGTTGCATGGTTCTCGCCCCAATGGAGGTCGTGATTGAGAAATCACTTCTGCCGTATTAGGTTTCTCCAAGCGGTGTCTCGACCTCAATAAAATCTTTCGCTGTTGCATCCCACGCGAAAGCCTTCACCGCGCGTATTTCGGTGTCGTAAACTGAGATAACCAAATATGTGGTTTCCGGATAAGCGGGTTCACCCCATACGGTCGCGTCTGCCTTGTCTTTTCCGGAGAAGTACGCCTCGTGGTTCGGGTGTGAGTGGTAGAAAGCCTTAATCTGCCGTTGCTGTGTATCAGCCTCTTTGTGAATGGCGATTAAATCGTCAGGGTGTATGACGTACGCTGTGCGGGCATCGCGCGGATATGTGTCAGGATCTTCCTGATGCAATTCGTTCTGCATGTTCCGGCATTTCCGGACAAATTCTTGTGTTTCAGCTCCTAAAATGACACCACAACATTCATTGGGAAACTCCAATTTCGCGTGGTCACAAATCTCGCTGAGGGTTTCTGGTTTTAAAGTTACCATTGAATAGCAATTAGCAATTAGCCGTCAGCAACCAGTAATCAGAAAGAAAACACTAATGATCTCTCTGACAGCCGACAGTATTAAGACAGATTGCGTCCGCCAGCAATCGCGGGAATAATTGAGATTTCAGCACCATCTGCGACACTGGTGGATTTTCCATCAAGGAAACGGATGTCTTCATCGTTGAGATAGATGTTTACAAACCGGCGGATATTTCCGCCTTCGTCACAGAGACGTTCTTTCATCCCCGGATAACTCGCTTCAAGGTTGTCAATGATGCCTTCAATATTGGCACCTTCTGCTTCGACCTCCGCCAAGCTTTGGGTTAAACGTCTCAGCGGGGTTGGAATACGGACTGTTACAGACATGAAATAAATTTTCTCCTTTAAATCGAGTAGTGTAATCCACACTCTTTGGTATTTTCTTCTGAGGAGGGCGCGTTCTGCCAACGCCATCGTCCTGCTCGTTTCGGTTCTCCCGGCTTTATGGGTGTTGTGCAGATGATGCACCCCAGTGATTCATAATACTGACCATGGGTATCCGCTTCAAGCAACGGATTCACAGGGATTTCGTTCTCACGGACAAACTGCCACACCTGATCGGTTGTCCACTGAATAAGCGGACTGACCTTAAGCACTGGGTGTGTTGTTGAGGATATGATTTCCGCCTTTCGAAGTTGTTGTCTCGCATCCGACTGGTCGTGTCGTAAACCGGTTATCCAGACATCCAACGTTTCCAAGAGCCGTTGCATCGGACGAACTTTTCGGATGTGACAACAGTATTCCTGCTTCGCTTTGCTGTCAAAAAACAGATGTTCGCCGTGCTCTGTCACCATCTGATGTACTTCTTGGGGATCAGGCTGAATCTGTTCAATCTGGATACCGTAACGCGCTTCCACCTGTTCAAGGAAGGTGTACGTCTCAGGAAAGAGTCGAAGCGTATCAAGCGTACAGACTCGGAACGGCAATTGGTTTTCAGCCGCCAGGTGAATCAGCACCATGCCCGAAAGTTGCCCGCTTGTAACAATGGCGGCGCGCTCTTTGAATCGCTTAAACAGAGAGAGAAGAATTTCTTGAGGATCCTCCGTCAAGGCAACTTTCTTGACAGAGAGCGTGATCTACTGAATAGTTCAATTCTTTGTCACTTGGCTTCTCAATGATTGCCAATCCTTTTTGGCGCAGCTTGCAAGCCAAAACTTGCTCTACGAAAGAAAGCGCAGGGAACCGAGGCATACAGCTGGGTTTCCCTACAATTGGGACAGTTTAAGGGAGTGCCTCCATGATGTCCGATTCGATTTCAAAGTAACCACTCAAACTGAAATAACGTTCCCCTGTGTCGGGGAGAATAGTAACGACAGTTTTATCCGGTCCTTGGTCTTTCGCAACTTGTAAGGCAGCGTACACATTCGCACCCGACGACATGCCGACTAACAGACCCTCGCTTGTTGAAATTGATTTCATCGTTTGATAAGCTTCTTCTTCGGAGACCGTGATGATTTCATCAATGACATCTACATTGAGCACTTCGGGGATCATTCCCGCACCAAGACCATCAATTCGCGTCGGATTCGAGGGACCACCGGAAAGCACGGCTGAAACCCGCGGTTCCACTGCGACAACTTTCACATCGGGGCATTCTGTCTTCAACACTTCCCCAACGCCTGTCAGTGTACCACCTGTTCCAACCCCCGTAACGAAAAAGTCGATGTCAGTGCCGAGTGCTTTGAGGATTTCTACTGCTGTCGTACGGCGGTGAATTTCGGGGTTCGCAGGGTTCGTGAACTGGTTCGGCATATAGTGCCGAGGGTTTTTTCTGACAATTGCTTCCGCTTCCCAGATAGCACTTGCCATACCGCCATGCTCCGGCGTTAGCACAATTTTCGCACCGAAGGCGGAGAGGAGTTCGTATTTCTCGCGGCTCACGTTTTCTGGCATCGTCAAAATCACAGGATAGCCTCTCGCGATGCCGACGATAGAGAGACCCACACCCGTATTGCCAGCGGTAGGTTCAACGATGGTATCTCCTTTTTTAAGGATACCGCGTTCTTCGGCATCAACTACCATCGCATAACTAATCCGGTCCTTGATACTGCCACCGGGGTTATAGGCTTCCAATTTCGCGAAAATAGTCGCATCGTCCTTACCGGGCAAGGTATTCAGACGGATCGTTGGCGTATTTCCGATGAGGTCTGTCAGATTTTTGGCGATTCTCATTTTTCAGGCAGATGACGATGTGCAACCTATTCCCTCTTAATCCTAACAACTTTACACAATCGCACTTTAAGTATAACATATACACTGCAAAAAGTCAAATTTTTCACGGACGTAAAACGTCAATCTGTTTTCAGATATCCGCTATGACGAGGCGTTCCTTTCGTCCGTTCTTACTTCTGATTCTCCCGCCATTTCGCAAAGTCTGCATCGATTCCTCCGACCATTTTCTATCTATTTCCCCTGGCGTGTACACACCTTCGCGTAACCGTTGATGCCCAAAACGGTCTCGGAGAGCCACCGCCTCGCCTTGCTCAACGACCTGTTGTGCGAAGTGCGGCGGAATAAAAATGACCCCGCCACGCCTGCCTAAAACGACATCTCCCGGTAAAACTGTCGCCTCCGCAATGCGGATAGGGATGTTAATACCGGTGAGTGTAACATTCGCAATACCTGTCGGATCCACACCGCGCACGAATGTGGCAAAATCAGGCAATTCGTAGATGCCATCCAAATCTCGGATGCCACCGTCAATTACCATACCGGTCCCCGTTTTGGCATAGATGGAATTGCCGAGGTTATCACCCGCAAAAGTGCCGTCCTTAACTTTACCAAAGAGGTCAACAACGATGACATCATCGCGGACGAGTGTGTCGATCACCCACGAGTTTTGACCACCAACGCTACCCTCTTTTTCACCTTGTGCGGAGATAGCATCGTTGAAGTCGGGACGTATCGGCACAAAGGCGCACGTTACCGCTCTGCCGACGAGGATCCGATCCGGATGAAGATTCATCCAATCGCCAGCAAATTGAAACTTATAGTTGTTGCCATTCAGGACACCCCACGCCTGCTCGATACTGATCGCCTTCATTCGCCGAAGAATATCGTCGGAGACACGTGGCCGTCCGTCAGGAAACCGCTCGCCTTCCCACAGATGCGTCATCGCGAGGATACTCTCTTTATCAATAAGTTGCATGTTCAATTCCTTCCATAGAACAACCTCGCGATATGGAGATTGAAGTGATGTTCACCTACAGACCCGCGTTTTCCCACACCTGATCCAATGATTCCGCTGTGGCTTTCGCCGCATCAGCAGGCTCCATGCTGGCCACCTTTTTGCTGAACGGTTCTGGTGTCACGGGTCCTTCGTAGCCGAGATCTGTCAGAATTTGCATCAACTCGGTGAGCGGGATTACCCCGGTTTCGGCGGGGAGACACCTGATGTTGTCAATCTGGTCGTCCGGATCGATACCGGCAGGTGCATCGTTGATGTGAACGTAAACAACATCCGATACAGAAAGTTTGCGAACATCGTCGGTTGTGGAACGGCAGGTGTACCAGTGCCATGTATCGAACAGCAGTCCAACGTTTCCTGTACCGACAGCAGCGGAAAGCCCTAACATCGCATCCATCGAATAAGCGAAGAGGAACTTGGAACCTTTGCGGCTCGTTGCCGGTCCAATGAACTCAAGCCCGATTGAATGTCCATGTTCTTTGAGAATCTCGGCAATAGGCCGGAGCCGTTTGACAGAAAAATCCCAATTCTCCTGATACGTCATGTCGTTTGAGGCGGGTCCCACGACGGTGGTTGTCCGATAGCAACCCAACTCTGCGGCGAGTGCTGCGCGTTCGGGTAGTTGTGCTAAGCCTGCGTAATAATCAGCATCGGGACCACGCCAATTCACACCGAATCCCCATCCGCCCATCGCGATGCCCGCTTCTGACCAGAGGTCTTTCACGTGTTGAACAGAGTTTTCCTGTGCGAGTTGGTTGGCTTCGTCAATGTTCAGGTCGAGACCTTCAAAACCGGAATTTTTTGCTAACGCTAAGCCTTCTGTCATATTTGCCCGGATGCCGATTGCACCGGTACTCAGATTTTTAAACATATTTCTAATTTTCCTTGCGGTTAAACACGTGGGTCTGGGACCTCACGCGCTTTTGTTGAGAGTCGCTTTCCATCAATTTTTTCGCCCCTTAAAACTTTCGCAGCAACAGCCCACGGATAATCGGTGTCTTCCGCGTTTGCGTCTCGGTACGTGGGGATCCAGACCCAGCGTTCTTCGCCGGATGTGTTAGGATGGCTGGAATGGAGGGTCAAATCGTGAAAAAAGACGGCACCCCCTGCTTCGACCTCCGCGGTAACGGCACGGTTTTCGTCAACGGCACCCGAACGGAGCCGATTCCCAAACCCAGTGCCATCACTGGCATCGCCATCGTGAACAATGGCGGATTTATGGGAACCCGGAAAGAGCTTGAGACACCCGTTTTCAACAGTCGCATCGTCAAGCGCGACCCAAATCGAGAGCTTGTGTGCACCGTACCAATAGGACCAATCTTGGTGCCAAGGGCTGGCGAAGGTCATCGCCTCGTTCTTAAAAACCATCTTATCGCTCAGGAACTCAATATCCGGTGCGAGAATGCCTTCTAAAATATCGAGTATCCGCGCATCACCGACTGCGGCTTGGAAGACGGGACTCCGCGCAGCTAAACCGACGTAAACACCGTGTCCAGCGACTGCACCTGTTTCTGACTTAACGGCTTCCAGAATGTCGATGCATTCTAATTTGAGACGTTGAACTTCGCTTCGCGCGAACAGATTCGATGCGATAGCGAAACCGTTTTTCTCAAAATCATCGCGAAGTGTTGTTATGTCAAGGGTCATTTTTTAATTTTACCTTATGGAAGGCTTAGGGTTGCGTACTGAAAAACCTTAACTAAAGACAGCAGCCTGCAACAACGGCGCAGGCGAGTATGAGAAAAAACGGACAACAAACAAATTACCTCATTTAACGCCTTGCGGATTTCTAATTTTCCTTGCGGAGAAACGACGTGGATTTGAGTCATTGATGCGTTTCCTTAAATCCGCTCTCCACTTCGTTACGAGCTACGGTTTTTGGTTTCATCTTTAACTCCTGTAACCAAAGATGGTAGCCTGCAACAACGGCGCAGGCGAGTATGAGAAAAAATGGACAACAAACAAATTACCTCATTTAACGCCTTGCGAATAATTAAAATACAATTTGGACTTCACGTCCTGTTTCGGCGCTTTTGAGCAAACCTTCCATCATCTGCTGAACAATCAACCCGTGGCGGAGGGGTGCCTTACACTTTACGTCGTCTAAGATGCATTCAATGAAGTGATCGGCGATCGCATCCCACGCTTCCTTGTATTTACCCGGTGGCAGATTGACGCTTATATCCTCAGACGTGCCGGATTCGTCCGTACGGTAGAGTCGCAACGGACTCATCGTCGCGCCGGCATCGGTGCCGAAGAGTTCTATCTGGAATTCATCGGGTTGGTGTGATGCCCAGAAACTTTCCACCTGTAAGCCGAGCCCGTTTTCGAAGGTAATGAAACCGCCTGCGTAGTCGTCTGACTCGTACTGTTCGTAGGTTTCCTTCGGCGGTTGGCTACGATTCCAGTACCCACGACCCCGCGGTCCAAATTTCGCACCAGCGGCACCGAGCACTGCGATCGGTTTCGGTAATCCGAGGATCCACCACGCTGAATCGAGGACGTGGACACCCATATCACGAAACGCACCGCCTCCCTGCTTGATGAAACCGAGATTCCACGCAGGGATACCGTTACGGCGAACACTGCGCGCACGGGCGTAGTAGAGTTCACCAAAATAGTTGTCGCGTGCGAGGTTACCGAGGTATTGGCAGCTATCTCCGAAGCGCGTGGAGAGCGACATCATATTGACAACGCCTGCTGCTTCGGCTTCCGTGACGAGTTTTTGTGCTGCGTCTTCGGAATCGGCGAGTGGTTTCGTTACCATGACATGTTTGCCGTTCCGCACCGCTTCCAATGCTATCGGCACATGCCACTGATTCGGTGTGCCGACAAACACGGCGTCGATGTCACTGGCTTTGCACATCTCTTTGTAGTCTGTATAGAATTTGACCTCGCCCGGTAGATCTTTGGCGAAGGGTTTCATCCGCTCTTCAAGCAAATCGCAGAGTGCGACAACATTGCCTCGCGGGTTTCTGGCGAGTGCCGCCCCATTGGGTCTGCCTATACCCATACCGACGACGGCGATTCGGACAGGGTTTTTTGCTGCTGCCATTTTTTTAATTTTCCTTGCGGTTGGTTCAGAGAGGTTGTGTGAAAAACAGTCCTTTCGGTATACCCGCCTTCCACTTCGTTTCAGGCTACGCGTTTTTTAATTTTCCTTAATACGGACGACCTCGTGAATTTAACGGCGAACTCACTTCGTTTTTGACAGGCTTAATCGTCCTGAGATACGCCCAAATCGCTTTCAGGTCTTCATCGTTCATTTGGGCGTAATGCTTTGTCGGCATCGGTGGAAAGATCTTCCGATTGCCTGCCACGCCTTGATGGAGTCCAGTACGCATCGCTTGGATGAACATTTCCTCTGTCCATTCGCCCAACCCAGTTTCTTTGTCCTGCGTCAAGTTTGAAGCGAAGCTCGTTCCAAACGGGCCGGAGAATGCGGTCATTTGCGTTGATGTAAGAATGAAGATGCCCTGTTGCATCATGCTGAAATTGTAGCGTGGATAAGGCGCGTTCACTGGATGCCCGGCGAGATACATGTCCATGTTATATTCAGCACCGGCGCGTGGCGTATGACAATGTCCGCACGCACCCACCGTGTCCACGAGGTATTTTCCGCGCTGCACCATATCGCTCTGGCTTTGAACAGAGTTGATGCTCAGCGCAATAATGGTACCTATAAAGAGTAACGTCGCACAAAAGATTAAGAAGTTTCGGTGCATTCAATAGTCTCCTTTGGATTCAAACCTCAACCTAATTTAGCAAATTCTGCAAATACGTGCAACAAAAATAAAAAAGGCGCGGTTGAAAACCGCGCCTGTGCCTTAAGGTAAAATTAAAGAATAGTCGATAATGAAATGGAGGACGGATATACGAGAAGGCACTTCATAGATCCCAACCCACTTGATCGAACCGCAAGGTAAAATTAAAAATTAGAAACTGTAGGATAGTTTCGCGTAGTAAAGCCCGCCATTGAAACCGAAAGGTGCCGACCTTCTGGAATACGTGAAAACGCCAGGTGAGTCCACAATAACGTGTCCTGTGCTATCCTCTAATTTTCCACTACGCGACTGACCAATTTCATTGAGGTCGGGCAACTGATCAAACAGGTTGTTCACACCGATAGTCAGTGAAAGTCCTTCATTCAACTGATAGTTGCTCTGGATATCGGTAAGCCATTTTCCACCATAAGTCTGCCGTGCCGGATCGACACCACTTCCCTCTTGAACAGTGTAGCTTCCGAAATAACGTAAGGCACCCCCGATAATGAGATCGCCGATGATGTAATCCGCACTCAGGTTAAGCCGGGTGGTCGGCTGCCACTCCTCAATCATGGAGCGATCCTGTGAAGGGAAGAGGGTCTCCTCAAGCCCGATGAGGACTTCCGGCGCATCCACATCACCGATAACTTCGGTATCTGCCCATGTGAACGCAACCTTCAAATTGAGAAGCGATTCATTGTCGAAAGCAAACAAGTAACCCGCAGCGACATCAACGCCTTGTGTACGTGTTTGTGCGACGTTTGTGAACGCCTGTGCGCTGCTTGCACCTGCAGCAACTAAGGCAGGGATGTTGTCGGCACTAAAACTGCCACTGAGGACGATACGATCATCAATTTGGATGAGAAAACCGTCTACAGTGAGCCACATCTTCTCAAGCGGTTTCAACACGAAACCACCGGAGACGTTGAATGCAGTCTCCTCTTTGAGTTCAGGTATACCGAGTGCACGTGCGGCATCGCTGTCGTTACGGAACGTGCCGAGTTCGCGTGGTAACACTTCGGTTGTATCTCCGTCGCCATCAAGATCCGTCGCATCTACCAAGAATTGCGTGCTAATGTTATTGAAGTAGAGTTGTTGCAGTGAAGGCGCACGGAAACCGGTGCTGCCCGCCGCACGGACCGCAACCTGTTTCGTCAAGTCATAGCGAGCCGTCGCTTTTCCTGTGACGGTGGCACCGAAGTCGCTATACTGCTCACCACGCACCGCTGCACCGACAAGGAGACCTGCTCCGGGTTGTCCACTAAGATAGGATTCAAAATCAGCATAACCTGCGATATTCGTCCTACTTTCGTCCACTTCGTTGTCTGGCCGGAAACCAGGGAAGACCTGGATACCGCCAGTGGCACCCGGTGCCCCAAGTCCGGCGTTAATCCATGAAAGCGGTTCACCAGCGTGGATACCGTAACCTTCTCGACGGAACTCGACACCGCCTGCGAGGTTCACCAGCGAGGTCTGATAGTCAAACGGGTAGGTGACATCTAAGTTAAACACCGTTTGCGAGAGCTCAAATCCACCCGCATCCGCGGAAGTCGGGCTACTCGCACCGTAAGAGGCATTCAGAGAGTTGGAAATGAAAAAGTCGAATGTATTCAAGCCGTAATTAATGCTGGCATCGACATTCAGGTCGGTCGCCTCATGCGTCCATGCCATACCTAAGGCGAGAGAGGTGTCACCAACGTCGGTATTGATTTCTGGTAGGAATCCGTCGGGATAGATTTCGGTGACAGTCCGCGATGCTTGGTTGGCTCTGCGATAAAAACCGGCACTGTTGTTTTGGCGTGAAGAGTGTCCGCCAAAGGAATAGAGTTCTAAACCCGCGGCGAGCGGGAGTCCGAAGTTATAAAATCCGACCTTTTGTGACGAATCGGCATCTCCAACGCGGAAGTTCTGACGTTCAAAGGTGTATTCGCGCGGGTCGAACCATACCGGTTTCTTGGTTACAGTCCCATCATCATTTTCGATTTCAAGCATTTCATCCGGTGGTCTGCCTTGATCAACATCTATCCAGTCATACTGCCGTTCGCCTGTGAGACCTGCACGGTTGGTTCGTTTTCTATCACGCCATTCAGCAGTGAGATTAAGGAAACCGGAGTCACCGACTTTCATACCGTAGTTGGCGTTACCGTTCCATGTATCACCATCACCTTCATAGGTTTGTCCCCAATAGGTGTCGGCATCGCCTGTATTAACATCGTCTTTCAGCACAATATTGATGACACCGGCGATAGCATCGGAGCCGTACTGTGCCGCCGCCCCATCCCGAAGGATTTCAATACGCTCTATCGCCGCAGACGGAATCGCGTTAAAGTCTGTGCCAGCGGCACCTCGTCCCACCGACGTGTTTACGTGCAACAATGCACTTTTGTGGCGACGTTTACCGTTGACGAGCACCAGCGTCTGGTCAGGTCCCAAGCCGCGCAATGTTGCCGGACGTAGAGCATCTGTGCCATCGCTAATGCTTGAACTTGAAAAATTGAAGGAGGGAACTAACATCTGAAGGACGCGACCCGTTTCAGATTGACCCGTAAGGCTGAGTTGCTCCCTGTTAACGACCTCTATTGGAACAGGGGCTTGTAAAGCTCTCCTACCTATACTCCGGGTTCCGACGACCACAACGGATTCAATAGTTTGGATGGGAGCAAGGATGACTATCGCTTCGGTTTGCCCAGCTGTGGTATTAATGCGTTTGCTCGAAAATCCGATTGCTGTTACAGTCAGCGACTGTGCACCTGTTACATCGCTAAACGTAGCAACTCCGGATGCGTCAGTTGTTTGTTCTTGGTTTCCAATTTGTACTTTTGCTCCTGATATAGCATTCCCGTTCTGATCTTGAACGACTACCTTGAGTGTATCAGCACTGACAGCCATCGGTATCACTGATGCGATGCCGAATAAAATGGCGACGACGTACCAGAAATACCGTTTATTATCTGAAATTTCCATTTAGTTTTTCCTTGTTTATAAGTTGGTAATAGTGAAAAATGCGGAGCACAGACATCTGGAACGTCTAAGCATGTTCCGCTTACAATAACGTGAGTTCGACTTAAGGGTTTAGAAGAAGTTGACGCTATATATTATGCCTATCACAGATTTGTTGACCGATCTGGCACGCACTCCAGCGGAGTGCTATGTCTATAGAATTAATCTTCATCTGGAGCAAAGGTATGCGTTTTGGGTATGATGTTGTGTTTCACCTGTGCTTACTCCGAAAGCCGCATAACAATTCGCTTATGGAACCTACATCCACACTCACGATTTTTATTATCGAACTCACGTTACAATAACAATTTAATTATGATTTATTTTTACCGTAAAATGCAAATTAAAGTTGCGAAAATGTGGAGTATCAGTTTTTTTAACCACAAACTCTGCTTTTGTGCTAAAATCATGAGAAGACTTAGACAATTGTTTGTGTGAGGGTTCCGGAGAACATGCACGGTTTGATGATGAACTATCCATTGACGCTTGCGCAGATTTTGGAACATGCGCATCGTATACACGGCAGTAAGCGAGTTACCACACTCCTGCCCGATCAGACGTTCCATAGTTATAACTATACTGCATTGTACGAGCGCGTGCAGCGGTTGGCGAACGCTATCACGCAATTGGGTGTTATACAGCCGGGTGACAGAGTTGGGACGTACGCTTCCAATACCTATCAGCATCTGGAACTCTACTATGCGATTCCATGCATCGGTGCTGTGCTACATCCGCTCAATGTTCGTCTCACTGCTGTTCAATTGGCGCGAATCGTGCGCGAGGCAGAGGATAAAGTCATTTTTGTGGATGGCGCATTTGTCGGGCAGTTTGAGGAACTACGAGAAAAGATTGAATGTAAACAAATTGTCCACTTTAATCCGAATTCCACGCATACCGGTGTTGCTTATGAGCAGTTGCTCTCTGAAGCCGAGCCAGCCTATTCATGGAATATCCATGACGAAAACTGGGCAATGGGACTTTGTTACACCAGCGGGACGCAAGGGGAGCCTCGAGGTGTTCTCTACACCCATCGCTCCATGTTTCTTCACACGCTTGCTGTGAATCAAGCCGATGTCTTCGGATTAACAGAGGCAGATGTCGTGATGCCCCTCGTCCCGATGTTCCATGCGATGGCATGGGGACTCCCCTACGCGTCCATGTTCGCTGGCGCAGATATAGTGCTCCCCAGTGTTAAGCCCGTGTGCCTCGCAGACCTCATCGCCGAGACAGGTGTCACCGTTGCCGCAGGGGTCCCGACGGTCTGGGCAAAGGTTTATCCGGAATTATCGAAAAGGAAGCAGGACATCTCCACGTTGCGACGATTGATAGTCGGCGGTGAGGCGATGCCACCTACACTCATTGAAGCTTACGAGAAGAATCTCGGTGTTGAGATTTGCCACGCTTGGGGGATGACGGAGATGTCACCAACCGGTACGTTCTCGAAACTGCGCGGGACACATCAAAATTTGTCGGATGCTGAAAAGTGGCGAGTTAAAGCGAAGCAAGGAAGGCCGATACCGGGGGTTGAACTCCGCCTCGCAGCTGAAACATCTAACGGCTTCACGAAACTTCCTTGGAATGGCGAAGCAGTCGGGGAACTGCAGGTGCGGAGCCCATGGACAGCAAGTCGTTACTACAACATTGAGCCTACTACGGAACATTTCACTACCGACGGGTGGTTACGCACGGGAGATATTGCCACTATTGACGTGGACGGTTACATGCAGATTGTGGACCGCGCGAAAGCACTCATCCGAAGCGGCGGAGAGTCTATTTCAAGTGTTGCCTTAGAGACTTCACTCCTAAAACACCCGTCCGTTCTTGAGGCGGCAGTTATCGGTGTGCCCGATGAAAAGTGGGGTGAACGTCCACTCGCTGTCGTTGCACTTTCACAACGGATAGATGAGGACATTTCAGACGACCTTAAACAACACCTCTCTGTTGAGTTCCCTAAGTTTTGGATCCCTGACCGGTTTGTCGTTGTTGATGAAATCCCGAAAACGAGCGTCGGAAAATCCGATAAACGCGCGATTTTAGGAATGTTTATATCCACTGGTAACTCGGATTTACCATGATGATGGGTAGTCAGAGGTCCGACACCTCGGCCCCAATAGCATTTTAATTAATGGCCGCCTGGACTGTGATCCTTTGTGTCCACTGTCTACGGAGATACAGGGGAGCGGAGGTTCTTGGCATCGTAAAAACCTGTAGCCCGTAACGTAGTGGAGGGCGACCCTTGAGCGAAGAGCCGAAACGCATGAGTCCCGTCGTTTCTCCGCAAGGAAGAATTAAAAAATGAAAATGAAAGCCGCTATCTACACAGGCATTGAAGGAATTGAAATTCGTGAGGTTGAACGGAACGAACCGCCTCCTGGCTTTGTACTCGTTGACACAAAACAGACCGGTATCTGTGGTAGTGACCTGCACAGTTATTTTGGGCATTGGGGACAATCGCATGAACATGCCGCAGGGCATGAGACATGTGGCATAGTCGTGGCACTCGGCGATGGTGTAACAGAATTTGACCTCGGGGACAGAGTCGCCGTGGAATGTTTTTCACACTGCGGCACCTGCAAGTATTGCGAAACCGGCCAGTACAATCTCTGCTTCAATAGAGCCGGGGTCTCTCCGAGTATGCACGGCGGGTTCGCTGAATACACGTCAACACACTATTCCGGGTTGTTTAAAATACCGAAACGCATGACGTTTGAACAGGGAGCACTCGTTGAACCGCTCGCTGTTTCACATCGTGCTATAGCGCGGTCAGGTGCCAATTCCAGAGACACAGTCGCAATTATCGGCGGCGGTACTATCGGACAATTCTGCTTGGCGGATGCAGTTGCCGCGGGGTATTAAAGAGACACTGATTACCGTCAAGTACGAACAACAGGCAGAACTGGCAAAAGCACTCGGCGCAGATCATGTCGTGAACATCAATAACACCGATGTGCGAGAATACGTCAAGGATGTCACAAACGGCATCGGTTTTGATGCGGTAGTTGAAACGGTAGGAGGGGCAGAGAATTTCGATACTGCCATGACTATCGTTCGGAAACAAGGAGCTGTTGTGCTCGTCGCCGGATACTACAAACCGCTTGAGGTGAATCTCTCTACTATCGTTTGGTCGGAGGCGACCATTACGGGTTCTAACTGCTACGGTTATAGCGGGATGGAAACCGACTTTGAGGCGGCAATTGAGTTGATTGACTCCGGCAAGGTCGATGCTACAAAATTGGTAACACACTCCTATCCGTTTGAGGAGATCGCTGAAGCGTTCCGTGTGTCTGCCGATAAGTCCTCCGGCGCGGTTAAGGTACATGTCTGTCAGCAATAGTATCGCGAATTTTTAATTTATGGCCCTATCGTTTTTCCCGCTTTCTGGTGGGTGCCGATCCCGTAGGGGCGGGGTTTCCCCGCCCGCCACCTAAAGCTAAGCCCGTAATGTAATGGAGGGCGACTCGGGAGGATAGCACGTCAGATACCGAACCTGCGTCGTTTCTCCGCAAGGAATAATTAAGAAACGGAATTCAGAACACGTACGTGCATTCACCAAAGGCTAAGCCCGTAATGTAATGGAGGGCGGCTCCAGAGGGTAGCACGTCAAATGCCGAACCTACATCGTTTCTCCGCAAGGAATAATTAAAAAATGCAGAACGGAAATCACGCATTGAGCACTGAAGAAAAGGAACAGTTTTGGCGGCAGGGCTACCTCGGTCCTTACAAGCTCTGTAGTCCTGAAAAGATGCTCACCATGCATTCGGAAATCGAGAAAGTACTTGAAACTGCACCGCCGGATCACAACCACTTGGAGCATAACCGCCATCTTGACTCTGTATTAATTAACAATCTTGCCACGCATCCGGCTATCATCAAGCGGATGGCATCTCTCTACGGACCCGATCTGCTGCTCTGGCGGACGAACTTTTTCATCAAGGAACCAGGCGCGAAAGAGATTCCGTGGCATCAAGACTTCAACTACTGGCCCCTTGAACCACCTATTATTATTTCTGCATGGATTGCTGTCGATTCCGCAACGTTAGAAAATAGTTGTCTCCAAATCGTTCCCGGTTCACACCGTAAAGTGGTACCGCACGTGAAAGCAACCTCGGACATGGCGTTCAATCAGATGGGTGATCTTGGATTCATTGATACCAGCACTATCGTCAGCCTTGAGATGCAACCGGGCGAATTTGTCCTCTTTAATGAGCGTACTTGCATCACTCAGAAGCAAATCGCTCTGATAAACGGCGTATCGGTTTAGCTATCCGCGTCATCCTGCCGATTGTCAAAGTTTTCGATTGGGACGCTCCGCAGCACAAACTCATCGTCGTTCATGGTGAAGATCCCGTGCAATTTAATCACAGGGGCTAAACAACGAGCATCGCGCTTACCAATCTTTTGTAGGAGGGGTTTGTAACCCCGATTAATTCTTCATAACTGTTCATAAGAAAATTGCATAAGTCCTAATTGATTAAAAAGGAGAAACGTTAAATGAATCGTCAAATTACCCTCGCTTCCCGACCCGCAGGGTACCCAAAGGAATCAGATTTCAACTTGGTTGAGGTACCGGTTCCAGCACCCGAAGACGGAGAGGTCTTGGTAAAGACTATCTACCTCTCGGTTGATCCATATATGCGCGGACGCATTAATGCATCGAAGTCTTACGCCGCCAATGTGGAAATTGACGAAGTGATGATAGGTAGCGTTATCGCGCAGATTGTCGCATCAAAGCATCCAAATTTTCAGGTGGGTGATGTCGTCAATGCGGGTATCGGATGGCAGGAATACGGTGTTGCTGCCGGCGATGGCTTAAGGAAGATTGATCCGACAATCGCACCTATCTCAACTGGAGCAGGGATTCTCGGTATGCCCGGTCTGACAGCCTACTTCGGCTTGCTTGAGATTGGGAAGCTTCAAGAACGGGAGACTGTGTTTGTCTCTGGTGCCGCTGGCGCAGTGGGTTCCGTCGTCGGACAGATCGCAAAAATCAAAGGGTGTCGGGTTGTCGGTTCTGCGGGAACTGATGAAAAGGTCGCGTACATCGTTGATGAACTCGGCTTTGATGATGCTTTTAATTATAAAGAGGTTACCGATTATCACGAAGAACTCCAGAAACTTCTTCCTGATGGCATTGATGTCTATTTTGACAACGTCGGTGGAGCCATCACAGATGTCGTTTTCCCCAATTTAAGAATCAAAGGACGCGTCGTCATCTGTGGGCAAATTTCACAGTATAACTTAGAGAAACCCGAGACGGGACCCCGTTTCCTCTGGAATATGATCACCAAGCGCGCAAGAATCGAAGGCTTCCTCGTCTCTGAGTTCGCCGATCGGCATGCGGGAGCACTCGTTGAGATGTCAGAGTGGTTGCGACAGGGCAAGTTGAAATACCATGAGACGATTGAAGAAGGTGGGATCGAAAGCGCACCCGCGGCATTTATTAGCATGCTAAAAGGCGGAAATATCGGAAAGCAGCTCGTTAAAATCGCTGACATCGACTAAAGTGGAAAACCGTACGGGCGAGGTTCCGTAGAACTCGCCCGTAACTCTGACATCTTAGTATCCTTTTTCCTTATCAATCACACTCAGAAGCGGTTTGCCAATGAGGAGCCGTTCCAGATTATCACAGAAAAGCCCGATACTCCTGTCCAAGCGGATCGGTGAGCCACCCGCAACGTGCGGTGTAATAATCACATTCGGCAGATCCCATAACGGGCTGTCGGCAGGCAACGGCTCTTCAGGCGTGACATCCAACCCCGCACCGCCGATACTCCCTGAAGTGACCGCACGGAGCAGTGCCGGTCCGTCTACAATCTTGCCGCGCGTGACGTTAATAAGCAGCGCATGCGATTTCATCTGTTCAAACGCCGCATCATCGAACATACCGTGCGTCTCCGGGGTCAACGGTGCACAGATGGAAACGATATCTGATGCCGCAAGAAGGTCATGGAACCGATCCATCTTCCAGACTTCATGAACAAACGATGGTGCTTCGACCGTTTCTGGGTCCACAGCGATGACGCGCATATCAAACCCTTGTGCGCGGCGCGCAACGTCAATCCCCGTTCCTCCCAGTCCGACAATACCCAACGTCTGTTCGCTTAACTCCCACGTCGCCAGACGGATTGACATCCGATTATCCCACGTCCGCTCTCGGACCGAACGTCCAATACCGCGGAGGAGACCGAGAAGTAAAGCCCATGTCTGATCTGCCAGATGTGGACCAACAAACCCTTTCGCGCTCGTTAGGATAACATCACTTCTAACAAATTCTGGAAATAGCGCACCATCAACACCCGCAGAAAGTACTTGAATCCACTTCAGCTGCTTCGCACTTGCAAAAAGCGATCGATTAAACCCACCCAACACAATATCAGTGTCCACAATTTCGCGCAGTGCCTCTTCTGAATTCTGTGGGCGCACAAGCGAAAGATCGTCAGAAACCGATTCGATCTGCTGCTGCTGTTCTGCCGTAATATCGGTATTAATCAAAATTTTCATTTGACATCTCCTGTGTATCGTGGTATTCTATATACAAAACAACGAAATTCCTACTAAAAAACACATTTCTCAAAAAAGGAGAATCCTGTCGTGATTGCTTCATCTTTTGTACGTATGCGTAAACGATATGTTCATTCCGTTTCTATTCCTATCTTCGCCATTAGCCTCTTTCTCATGTGCAATCTTCATTGCCAGTTGCGGCGACGAAGGCGACATCACTGAATACTCCACCGGTATGACGGATGTCCTCCAACCCGCTACAACGCCTCCTACTGTTCAGACGCCGGTCCCTCCAGGGGAGCCGGGGGTGTTGAGCAGCCAGTCGTTGAAGAGCCTGTTGTTCCCGATCTGCCGCAAACTTCCTTCAAAGACGATATTCAGCCTATACTCGCGGAACGATGCGCCATTCCAGGATGCCACGCCGCACCCGGTGTTGCAGGGCTTAATCTCAGCAAATATGATACCTTCAAAAAAGGCGGAAACGGTGGTCCCGTGTTTGTCGCAGGCAATGGTAACGGAAGCCTTGTCGTCAAACGCATTGATGGCGGTGGCATGCCCCCCATTCCCCCACCCTTAAACGCTGACCAGGTACAACTTTTCGTTGATTGGATTGATGAAGGTGCCGAGAATAATTAATATTACAGTAGCGTAGCATTTCTACTCCGTTCTGTCAAGTCCTAAAAAAATAGATATGCTTGGAAGGTGCATAGCGCATGCGCCTTCTTTCGCGTACGCCTTCCTGTTCCTTAAGTCCCCCTCAGAATTGTCCTCTTTCGTACAGCACAAACATTTTATAGTAAAGCCCGAAAATATGTGAACACCACCGAGGATTTGGACCTTCCCGCCTCCCGCGCTCGCTGTGCGATTAGGTTTTGCGCGTACTCGCCGGAATTGCCCGAGCGCGCACTCGGCGTTGATTCAGGCGATCTGCATTCCTAACCTCGCCAACGCTAATGTGTAATTATAGGCTTTACTATATGCTACAATGGAATAATGTTGACTTATGGGAACAAACATACGCCACATCGCGGCGGGGTCTATCTAGACGCCCGCTAGTATCTACAATGTCAGCTAATTAAGATTTTACATACTAATGGTGGATTCTATAATATAGACGCCTCTAAGTTTCGCAGACTCTAAACTCACCGCCGCTGCGAGTTTTTGTACTCGCCTATCACACTGCAAGATATAGCTACTATACTATGTGGATTCTATAATAAGTAGACGGCCTTCGTAAGTTGCAGACCTCAACGCGCCCACCGCCGCTGGCGGTTTTTAACCTCGCATCTTTAGAGTGTCTACGTCATTGAGGGTTTACCATATATGCTACAAATTTAATTTGACTTATGAATCAAACTATAGTACAATCGCCTATATGGGGACTGAGTATTTATTATATCGGTATTATGTATAAATGTCTTAATATGGCTTTTCGGGGCTTAATCAGCGTTTTGTACTTGTATAACAACTTGAGGCACAACGGTTAGATTCATGGGATACTCATTTTGTATCGTTTGGAGAAAAGCACTATAAAGGGAATTCCATGGATTTGCAATGAGCGACTTAGTCATTTATAAGATGACTTGCCTTTTTCGGATTTTTGGAGAACACAGATGAGAGGCAATGACGTTACATTGATTCAGCGTACTTTAGAGGGAGACCAAAACGCGTTTACCGCGCTCGTGAACAAATATCAGAAATGGGTCCACACGCTTGTATGGCGGAAGATTGGTGACTTTCACATCGCAGAGGAAATCACGCAAGATGTTTTCTTGAAAGTTTACAAGAAGTTATCGACGCTGAAACCCCCAGAGCAGTTTCCCGGATGGCTCTATGTAATTACCACGCGACACTGTATTGCATGGCTCCGAAAGAAGCGACAACCAACGTCATCACTCGATGCAATGCCCGCACCTGAACTTGAGGAACTCTGTTATGCACAATATGAGACATCGCGCGGTGAAGCAACCGCTGTTGAACGCCAGCGCGAGATCGTCAAGCAACTACTCCAGAAACTTCCAGAGAGCGAGCGCACCGTTGTAACGCTGCACTATCTCGCAGAAATGTCTTGTGAAGAAATTAGCGAATTTTTAGGGTGTATCGCCGAATACCGTTAAAAGTCGACTCCACCGCGCCCGTAAGCGATTGGAAACGCAGGAACACCTACTCCACGATGTCTCAGGCATCTTCCGACTCCCACCAACCTTAACTGAAAACATCATGCGAGAGGTTGCCTCCCTCAAACCGCCTACGCCTCCTGTAAGTAAACCGTGGCTACCGTGGGGAGCCTCTCTGGCATCAGCTATTCTCATTATGCTGATGATAGGTTTCGGTGCGCGCGCACTATATCGTTTTCAGCAACCCTACAATTTGGATGCGAAATCGGAGATGATAATTGAGCTGGTGGAGGCACCCATTGTCCTGCCGTTAAGATTAAAACCGGATGTGAAAACGCAGCTCGGTAGCACGAATGCCGTCGGTAGAAGCAGTAGTACCGGTTCAAGAACCAATGGGCAACCACTGGTCGCCGTGCCGTCAGAGGCAGTAGAAGTACTGGATACGGAACCACAATGGATTCAGTCGGAGAAACTAACAGGTGGGGATGTTAAAAATCTCTTTCTCACGTCCGAAAAGGGGCTTTACGCCGTCGGAAGCACGGGACTCTACCGGTTGACAGACGACAATAGCACCGGATGGACCCTCGTCAATGCCTCCTTGCCCTTAACACCCCAAAGTGAACCGATGGCGGAATGGGGTGAAACCCTCTATATTGCTACACAGACGAATCTATTTGCATCAACCGATCGCGGTGTAACGTGGTACACGTCGTTGGTCCGCGTCCACGAGGACGCGCGATCGCCTTACTCATTACTGATCCACACCGTTTGCGCCGCCCGCGAGATGTCCAGATTGAAATGTACCTTGTCCTCACGGACGGTGTGTTTCGTTCAACGACTTCGGAAACACGTGGCACGCGTTTAATGATGGCTTGACCGCACCAGAAATACAGGATGCCGTTGCTGTCGGAAACGTCCTCTTTTTAGGGACAAGACAGGGGCTCTATCGGCTCAATTCAAGTGTGTGGGAAAAATTGCCCGTTGCGCAGTCACAATCCATTGATTCGTTGGCAGTTGCTGACAACAGAATTTACTTCAGTGCTGAAAAACGGGAGAACCAGCGGTCTGGATCGCTTTTTCGTCTCAGCCGACTTCGGAGAGTCATGGACGACATAACACCCTTTAGATCAGGATTTTCCGTCGTCTTCCTAACGTTCGGATCTGCCAAACTTGTGGCGGTAGGGTGAAACGCTGTCTTGGCATCTGGGTAGCTGGTGTGTTACGCTCGACAGACGCTGGCAACACGTGGGAATATCTCGGTTTCGACAAACATACGCTTACTCTTGATACGGACCCGGTGGTAGCATTAGACAAAAATACGTTTTCGTAGGAGAACGAACGGTGTCGGACGCTCTATTGACGGTGGGGACCACTTGGCATCCTTTCATGACAGGTATAACGGAACTCCACGTTCTTGATCTCGCACAGGTTAACAACGTGCTTTACGCCGTAACCGATAAAGGTATCGCTAAATCCACCGATGGCGGCGAACTCTGGACGTATGTCGGAACGGGATTGCCACCGCTTTGGTAAATCACTTGATACGCTGGAGTTGTCAAATATGACAGCCGTGGGAGTGGCGCTTTATGTCAGAGCAAAGCAGGGTGGAAGCACAAACGCTCTATTCCATCTACTTCCTAATACCGATACGCTTCTGCATATTAGAGATGCCGGTTTATGTAGATTCAAACCGCAGTGAGTGGTTGGAGAGCGTAGCTTACACTTCAGGCACACTTAATCTGGATGAAACAGACCAAGCAAGACTTTTTCGCTATCAACTCGGCATTGAAGAAGCAGCGACAAGAACAACTGGAGAGTTCGCCGTTAGCGGCAATACGTTCTACATCGAATACGAACGGAGACTCTACCGTTGGACCCCCGGAGATCACAAATGGCATGACCTCGGCATGCAAGATGCCCCCGTATTCGCTGACTTTTACGCCACCGACGGTTTTCAGTTTGCTGTTTCAGGAGAAGTTGTCTACCTCGGAAAAAGCAACGGCAGCTCTCTTCCAATCGTTGGATGGTGGGGAAACTTGGAGAGATGTTACCGCGCGCGGACTGTGGTCATAGCGTAGAGTGCTAATTTTCGCCTTTCACTCTTAATAGAGGCGGAACCGCACGATCGGACTCCTAAAGAAATTGCCGGGGCACTTCAGAGGAGATAGTCTTTTTGGGTAGCACGGTGTATGTTTCAACAAACGATGGAGTTGCGATGTCAAGCGATGGTGAGAACTTGCTTATGGCTCACGGATGATTCAACGTCCGCGATCGCAATCCCTATGCTCAATTGGCATTTATGGCACAACGCTTTACGGTGTTTCCCGAACAGGTGCCTATCGATTAAACAAAGATACAGGTATCTGGGAGCAGATTGCCTCAGAAATACCGGGACGAGTTACGTCTCTCGCTGTTGCCAGAAACACCCTCTATATTGTTCCACTGGTGCGCTTTACAATTGCCTCCCTCAATTTCGAAGCGCACTTATCCTCATCATGAACGCAGTCCACTTTACATTGCCTCAGTAAACACACATCCTTTTCCAAGAATTGCATTTTATGCAACCTCCCTGCAACTTATGCGCGTTACTATATGATGAGATTCCTCATCAAGATGCTCAGAGTATCACGTCGGTGCCTATGTCTTCTGGAGTTGGGCAAAATATTGTACAAGTCCTGAATATGGTGAGATATGAAATACATAGGCATCTTACGGAACAGCAGAAGTGCTTTCTTATTACATTCTAAAAGTTATACTGCATTAACCGCACGTCACCCAGAACCCGGTAGGTGCGGTTTCCTAACCGCACGGGATAACCAAAACAGCAGACCTTTTTAGAGAAATCGTCAATCAGAATGGTATTACTTCACTGGCGGGGTTTCT